GTAGGTGGCATGTAGGTTGGGGTGACAGCAATACAAAGGAAGGTATGTGAGATGGCGGGGTGACCCCTCCAGAATGATGTCCCTCAGGAACACAGCCATAGATTACTATTGAGTAGTAAGAGAGATAGGAGTGCCCAGTGCAGGAACAAGGTCATCTGGTGCCAGGGCGAAGGTGTGCCAAATTCCCCCCCCATCCCAAAATGTCTGACATTATGCCTCAACAAAAATCCCCCCCCCCCTCCAAAAAAAAAAATGAGCACCGATCTTTACACTTACCCTCTAAGCACAAATTCCCTTTGCAAGCCAAAATTCTCCCAAAGATTCCCTCCAGTACAAATCCCCCCTCCCAGCTCGAATCCTCTCGCTCCTCAAATCCCCCCTCCCAGCTCGAATCTTCTTTCTCCCCAAATCCTCCCTCCCAGCTCGAATCTTCTTTCTCCCCAAATCCCCCCCCTCCCAGCTCGAATCTTCTCCCTTCCCAAACCCCCCCTCCCAGCTCAAATCTTCTCCCTCCCCAAAATCCCCCCTCCCAGCTCAAATCTTCTCCCTCCCCAAATCCCCCCTCCCAGCTCAATTCTTCTCCCTTCCCAAATCCCCCCTCCCAGCTCAAATCTTTTCCCTCCCCAAATCCCCCCTCCCAGCTCACATCTTCTCACTTCCCAAACCCCCCCTCCCAGCTCAAATCTTCTGCCTCCCCAAATCCCCCCTCCCAGCTTAAATCTTCTCCCTCCCCAAATCCCCCCTCCCATCTCAAATCTTCCCCCACCCCAAATCACCCCTCCAAGCTCAAATCTTTTCCCTCCTCAAATCCCCCCTCCCAGCTCACACCCTTTCCCTCCCCAAATCCCCCCCTCTCAGCTCAAATCCCTCCCCAAATCCCCTCTCCTTCTACAAGTTACAATGTACAGTCTAATCACTGGGGAAGGGGAAACTGAGGAAATGCTTCCTCCTCCTTCTACAAAGTTACAATGTACAGTCTGATCACTGGGGGAGGGGAGACTGAGGAAATGACTCCTCCTCCTTCTACAAAGTCACAATGTACAGTCTGATCACTGGGGGAGGAGACTGAGGAAATGCCTCCTCCTCCTTCTACAAAGTTACAATGTACAGTCTGATCACTGGGGGAGGGGAAACTGAGGAAATGCTTCCTCCTCCTTCTACAAAGTTACAATGTACAGTCTGATCACTGGGGGAGGGGAGACTGAGGAAATGATTCCTCCTCCTTCTACAAAGTTACAATGTACAGTCTGATCACCGGGGGAGGGGAGACTGAGGAAATGACTCCTCCTCCTTCTACAAAGTTACAATGTACAGTCTGATCACCGGGGGAAGGGAAACTGAGGAAATGACTCCTCCTCCTTCTACAAAGTTACAATGTACAGTCTGAACACTGGGGGAGGGGAGATTGAGGAAACGCCCCCTCCTCCTTCTACAAAAATTACAATGTACAGTCTGATCACTGGGGGAGGGGAGAAGAATAGGAAATGCTTCCTCCTGCTTCTACAATGTACAGTCTGATCACTGGGGGAGGAGACTGAGGAAGCGTTTCCTCCTCCTTCTACAAAGTTACAATGTACAGTCTGATCACTGGGGGAGGGGAGACTTAGGAAATGCTTCCTCTTGCCTGCAGCAGACTGATGACGTTTTCGCCAGGCCTAGGCTAAGTCACCGAGTGGTAAAAGATGGAACTTTCCAGAACAATGGTGCTGCTGCTGTATAATGCGATATGCCAGGAGTGTATTCAGGCAGAGATGTAGTTCCTGATAGGTCCACTTTACAGAATCCATGTCTGGACTGCAGGGTTGTCTTCCTGCTCCTCATACAGCAATGGGACTACGATCCCCTCCAACACTCCCCATTCACATTGCTATGCCCCTCCCCCCCTCCCCATTGGACTCTATTGTCATTTATGCCCCTGAGTAACTTTCACGGTCACACATGAGCCGCCATATTTCCTTTCTGCGTCTGATCCTGCGAGGACTGCTTCCATGGCGGTATCGTGCTCTTTCACATACATGTTGGCGGCACATCCTTGTCACATACGGTTCGCCATTCATCCACAGACCCGTGTAGATTTCTGTTCCTTATGATCCTCGCTGCCCCGGAGCCGTCAGAGGATAGAAAAGCTTTAAAGGGAGATAACGATGGCGGGGCGGGCGGGGAAGTGCGCGCGCGCCCGCAGCTCACCGCGGTTCATATCCCACAAATAACCTCCTCGTCACAGACTAACGTACACCATCTATATCTCCTGATTTGGAAAAAACTCATTTTCAACTACGATGAGCATTAGCGAGGCTGCGGGGCCCGACCATCGCTGTACCTGAACATCGCGCGTCACGGAACAAGACGCGGAGAACGCCTGAGCGGAGATTTACACGGCTGTCCATGTCGGAGAGGATTTCACTTGGCTAGGAATCCAAGCGTTCCCGTCCAAATCCATTACTAATGTAAAGAGGAACGCGCCGCGGCTAGCAAGGCTCGCTATGTGCACATGTTACCCTCACGGGGGGGGGGGGGGGCGCTTGTTTCGGTCATGAAATCGTCTGCCTTTGTTTTCAGGTTTTCAGGCGAGCCTGGATTGACCAAAATTATGACTGGAGCACTCTACCCAAACTTCAGCAACTTGGTGGTGCCCTTCAAACGGAGAGTCTCTCACCGATGTTCCTCAACATTGTATTTATCACACAGATCGAACGTTAATGAGCGATGTCTTCTTCATTCACATGCTCAGATCTTCATTTTTATCTATATACACTATATTGCCCCAAGTACGGGGAAACCTGCCTTTCCATGACCTTTAATGGCCCCCCAGTCGTAGTCCGTAGGGTTCAATATTGAGTTGGCCCCGCCCTTTCCACACACATGACCTTTAACCACTTCCAGTCCGGACACTTTTACCCCCTTCCTGACCAGGGCAATTTTCAGCTTTCAGCGCTATCACGCTTTGAATGACAATTGTGCGGTCATGCAACACTGTACCCAAATTAATTTTTTACCATTTTTTTTTGAGACAGATAAAGCTTTATTTTGGTGGTATTTATTCACCGCTGGGATTTTTATTTTTTTTTTGCTATGTAAATGAAAAAGGCCAAAAATTTTAACAAAAGTGTTTTTTTTAATAAAATTTTGCAAATAAATATTATTTCACCATAAATCTTTGCCAAAATGTATTCCGTTATCTTTTTAGTAAAAAAAAAAAAAAAAAATTAGTTTATAACCAAAAATTATAATATTTAAACATTTTTTTTTACATTTTTATTTTATTTTTTTATATTATTATTTTTTATTTATTTTATTTTTTTTACATAATGTCACCCTAGCAGTACAGTGTCACCATGGTGACACTGTACTACTTGTGGGGGGGGTGATGAAGATTTTTTTTTTTTTTTTTACACTGATTGCTTTTACACCCATATAGGGTGTAAAAGCAATCATTTCTCTTTCTCTCTGTGTGCATTCCTGCACTCATTGAGAAATACTGAGTGAGCTGTGATTGGTCACAGCTTGTCACATGGTACAAGGCTTTTCTGAATAGCCTTGTACCATGTGACCTCTGTGATCATTCACAGATTTCACACGTAGTAAGCAATGATGTCACAAGTGACATCTTGCTTACTACTTTGCATGTGATCACTGATTGGCCAATCAGTGATCACATGATCGGGACCTCGTACAGAGATCCCGTCCAACGATCGGTGTTTCACTGTGTCCGGAGGACACAGCGGGCACCGGATCGCGGTGCTGCGCGCTCCCAGGGAGCGCGCACAAGCAGGGTGCGGGGAGGCCGTTCATAAACGGCCACCCGACCCTGTACTGCCAAGTCCGGGCCGTTTATATGCAACGGCCGCGGCAAGTGGTTAATGGCCCCTCCAGTCTTAGTCTATAAATATTGAGTTGGCCCGACCCTTTCCACACACATGCCTTTACCCCCAGGCCGTAGGGTTCAATATTGAGTTGGCCCCGCCCTTTCCACGACCTTTAATGGCCCCCCAGGTCCGGGGTTCAAGTGGGCCCCGCCCTTAATGGCCCCTCCGAGTCTTAGTCCATAGGGTTCAATATTGAGTTGGCCCCGCCCTTTCCACACACATGACCTTTAATGGCCCCCAGTCTTAGTCCGTAGGGTTCAATATTCAGTTGGCCCCGCCCTTTACACACACATAACCTTTAATGGCCCCCAGTCTTAGTCCGTCCGTAGGGGCCCCGCCCTTCAATATTGGCCCCCCAGTCTTAGTCCGTAGGGTTCAATATTCAGTTGGCCCCGCCCTTTACACACACATAACCTTTAATGGCCCCCCAGTCTTAGTCCGTAGGGATTTCAATGACCTTTAATGAGTTTAGGCCCCGCCCTTTGCAGCTATAACAGCTTCAACTCTTCTGGGAAGGCCGTCCACAAGGTTTAGGAGGGTGTCTATGGGAAGGTTGGACCATTCTTCCAGAAGCACATTTGTCAGGTCAGGCACTGATGTCGGGGGAGGAGGCCTGGCTCGCAGTCTCCGCTCTAATTCATCCCAAAGGTGTTCTATGGGGTTGAGGTCAGGACTCTGTGCAGGACAGTCAAGTTCCTCCACCCCAAACTGGCTCCTCCATGTCTTTATGGACCTTGCTTTGTGCACTGGTGTGGACAGTCATGTTGGAACAGGAAGGGGCCATCCCCAAACTCCTCCCACAAAGTTGGGAGCATGAAATTGTCCAAAATGTCACCTTAAGAGTTCCCTTCACTGGAACTAGGGGGCCAAGCCCAACCCCTGAAAAACAACCCCGCACCATAATCCCCTCTCTACCAAACTTTACACTTGGCACAATGCAGTCAGGCAAGTACCGTTCTCCTGGCGACCGCCAAACCCAGACACGTCCATCGGATTGCCAGACAAAGAAGCGTAATTCGTCACTCCAGAGAACACATCTCCCCTGCTCTAGAGTCCAGTGGCGGCATGCTTTACACCACGGCATCGACGCTTTGCATTGCACTTGGTGATGGAAGGCTTGGATGCAGCTGCTCGGCCATGGAAACCCATTCCATGAAGCTCTCTACACACTGTTGTTGGGCTCATCTGAAGTTTGGAGGTCTTAAGCTATTGACTCTGCAGACAGTTGGCGACTTCTGCGCACTGTGCGCTTCAGCATGCGCTGACCCCGCCCTGTCATGTGACGTGGCCTACCACTTGGTGGCTGAGTGGCTGTTGTTCCCAGTGGCTTCCACTTTGTTATAATCCCACTAACAGTTGAGCGTGGAATATTTAGTAGCCAGGAAATGTCACGGATGGACTTATTGCCCAGGTGGCCACCTATCACGGGACCACGCTTGGAGTCACTGAGCTCCTGAGAGCGACCCATTCTTTCACCAATGTTTGTAGAAGCCGTCTGCATGCCTAGGGGCTTGATTGTATACACCTGTGTCCATGGAGGGGATTGGAACACCTGAATCACATGTTATGGAGGGGATTGGAACACCTGAATCACATGATCGGGAGAGGATTAGAACACCTGAATCACATGTTATGGAGGGGATTGGAACAACTGAATCACATGATCGGGAGAGGATTAGAACACCTGAATCACATGTTATGGAGGGGATTGGAACACCTGAATCACATGATCGGGAGAGGATTAGAACACCTGAATCACATGTTATGGAGGGGATTGGAACACCTGAATCACATGATCGGGAGAGGATTAGAACACCTGAATCACATGTTATGGAGGGGATTGGAACACCTGAATCACATGATCGGGGGAGAGGATTAGAACTCCTGAATCACATGTTATGGAGGGGATTGGAATCACATGATTAGAATTAGAAACACTGAATCACATGTTATGGAGGGGATTGGAACACCTGAATCACATGATCGGGAGAGGATTAGAACACCTGAATCACAGGTTATGGAGGGAATTGGAACACCTGCAAATTAGGGTAGGGGGAAGGAGAAGTAGAAGGAGGAGAAGGAGGGAAAAGGGAAAAGGAAAAGGATTTCTGACAAATCTGTTGGGGTGTACTCATTTATGCTGAGCACTGTAACTTTTTCCCTTCCACAAGGTCAAAAGGTACTCTCAACTAGGTGGTACAGAACCCCATCCATCATGCACAAATGATATCCCTGATACATGTTGGGTGTTGTAACTTAGGAAACTGCCGTGTTCCTCCATGTATTTTGGTCCAAACCTGAACTCTTTTAGGCCAAGTTGCAAGATATCCCCCAGAAATTTACTGATTTCCCTCCCGTTGTTTTCCCCTGTACGTCCCATCTCGTCTCGTCTCCTTTTCCCCCATGTTTTTCATCACACCTTTCCTCCTTGATTTCCCCTTTCTGGACATTCTTACCTCCCTCATCTGACATTTACTTGCAATAATATGCTGAGAACAATATGGTTGTGTTTGGTTGTTACAGCTGCCTGTGCAAAACCTGTGTATTGTTCACATCCTCGTTTTGTACCTCCTCTGATGAAGGCACGGAACTCAACCCTTTGTTTTCTGTAAACGTTTTCTTAAGGAAAATAAAGGATTTTTAAAAAAAATCATTCTTTTTTATGTGCAATTGATAGCCCCCGCGTGGGCGTGTTTTGTTGCTCCTGTCTTAAACTATAAATAAATTAAAACTTGGAAATACAAAAAAAAAACATTCTTCTTACACTTGAAAAGGGAAATTCTTTGGAGGTCAGCGAGGTCTCATTTCTGATAGAGAGGATAACTGGTTCACAAGAGGTGTGAGAGAGGCCAAACGTCAAACTGGAGCAACCATCCCTGAACAGGAGTGGGGGCCTCCAACACATATAATGCCGTTTTATCATCTCTACCCTGGTGATTTGACACCAATTCACACCTTCGGCCATGTGAATTGAAGGATTGACATCATCCATATTGACGACATACCACTAGGCCAAAAGGCCTTCATCAGGGGACTAAGATAAACTCTCACTCTGCAACAGAGTTACAGTGACAGAAATTCTTTTTTCACTGGTTGAGGTCCTTGAAGGCTGAGTTTCCCAATCGACCCAAAAGCAGCAGGGACTCGAGTCTCCAGGCACCTGGATTGGACAGGGGACCTGCCTCCAGGACCTGGTAGGCCAACTCTTTTTCACACAAACTCTATCAGTCTCAACTGAGCCAGACTAAGCCAAGTCCTTACTCATTCTTTGAAGTATAGGCTACACACCAACCAGTGGGCCAACCCTTCTTCACCCAGACAGTGGTAAAGAAGAGACAAATCCAACTTCTTCCTTTTTTCTTTTGCTTTACTGAAACATAAGTCATACAACTAACCCAAAAGCCACAGGGACTCGAGTCTCCAGGTGCATGGATCAGACAGGGGATCTGTCATCAGAACCTGGTGGGCCAAACCTTTTTCACTCAAACTCTTTCAGCCTCAACTGAGCCAGACTGATCTAAGTCCTTACTCACTTTTTGGATTATAGGTCACACACCAACCAGTGGGCCAACCCATCTTCACCTAGCAGTGGTAAAGAAGAGAAAAATCCAAATTCTTTCTTTTTTTTTGTTTACTGAAATCTAAGTCACACAACCGACCTAAAGGCAGCAGGCCATCGAGTTTCCAGGCACATGGATCAGACAGGGGACCTGTCTTTAGAACCTGGTGGGCCAACTATTTTTCACCCAACCTCTATCAGCCCCAGGTGAGCCAGACTGAGCCAAGTCCTTACTCACTCTTTGAGGTATAGGTCATACACCAACTAGTGGGCCAACCCTTCTTCATCCAACCAGTGGTAAAGAAGAGACAAATACAAGTTCTTCCTTTTTCTTTACTGGAACATAAGTCACACAACCCAAAAGCTACAGGACCTTGAGTCTCCAGGTACATGGATTGGAAAGGGGACGTGTCATCGAGAACCTGGTGGGCCAACCTTTTTTCACCCAACCTCTATCAGCCCCAACCGAGCCAAGTCCTTACTCACTCTTTGAGGTATAGGTCATACACCAACTAGTGGGCCAACCCTTCTTCATCCAACTAGTGGTAAAGAAGAGACAAATCCAAGTTCTTCCTTTTTCTTTACTGGAACATAAGTCACACAACCCAAAAGCTACAGGACCTCGAGTCTCCAGGTACATGGATTGGACAGGGGACGTGTCATCAAGAACCTGGTGGGCCAACCCTTTTTCACCCAACCTCTATCAGCCCAAACCGAGCCAAGTCCTTACTCACTCTTTGAGGTATAGGTCACACACCAATTAGTGGGCCAACCCTTCTTCATCCAACCAGTGGTAAAGAATAGACAAATACAAGTTCTTCCTTTTTCTTTACTGGAACATAAGTCACACAACCCAAAAGCTACAGAACCTCAAGTCACCAGGTACGTGGATTGGACAGGGGACGTATCATCGAGAACCTGGTGGGCCAACCCTTTTTCACCCAACCTCTATCAGCTCCAACCGAGCCATGTCCCTACTCACTCTTTGAAGTATAGGCCACACCACCAACAAGTGGGCCAACCCTTCTTCATCCAACCAGTGATAAAGAAGAGACAAATACAAGTTCTTTTTTTTCTTTTGCTTTAGTGGGAACTTGGCAGTCCACATTTGTCTTGGCAATGTTCACTGCATAACAGCAGTTTCCATCGTTCTCCAAACTTAATTGGGTGTACTCCACCAAGGTTCTTATTCCCCTTAGATGAAGCCCACTTGGGGGGAAGGTTTCTTCAATGTCCCCCTATAAGGTGAAGTGTGGTATACTGGGCTCCTACATAGTGGCATGGAAGGCCTCAACTTTCCCATGGGGCAGGGAACAAAACCAGCGACCAAGTATACATATTCCTTAGCGCTACAGCTCTATGTCTTCAAACAATTGAGTACGAAGGCCACATTGCAATTTTACAAATATTTGCAGAATGAACAGAATTAATATCTAAACACACTCCAAGAAATAACTCCACATCAGAAGTCCACCCTTGAACATCAGAGCACTTCGTTCACATCAGACACATCAGACTCCTCAGTCCCCTGTACCAACTCACAATCTTCCCCACATAGGCGCATGTTGGGGACTAGTAGGTCTGAACAGGAGGTGCAAGATGGTGCAGGTCCTCTCCTGAATGCTGGGATGGCCCTGGATGCTTCTGCCCCGGATAAGCATCATGTGTTTTAACGGTGCGACTGGGCTGGCCTCCGGCACCATAGCAAAGGAGTGCTGGCCGCTCATACCCATTGGTTGTTATGATGCTGGTGGCCCACCTGCCTGCACTGTGGAATTTCATGATGTGTACACAGGAGAATTTGCTTGGGCAACGTCCATCTACTTCAATCAGTCTTGTTCTGCAAAAATTTAGCCAGAGGAAAAGTTGGCTGGGGAAAAATGTTGTAGCCGGGCAGATGTGGTCCGCAGGCAATCGTTTGGAGACCTTTGCTCTAGAGGAAAAGGGACACCCCTAGTGGGAAAACAAAAAACCGCAACTCGCCCAAAAGAGCAGAGTGGGGCAGAAGTGGCAATTTCCAACACCCCTCTACATGCAGACTTCCCTGAGACTAAGGATGGGATTTCACAACTTTTCCACCTCTCGTCCTGTTCTTGGGCAATCAACATCTGCCTTGACACGTTCCATGATGATTGACCTTCTGGGCTATTTGTATGGATCATGGCTGGATCTAGGGGGTAGCAGGGGTGGGCTATGCCCCCCCCCCCCCTAGATTTTAGTTGTGCCCACCCAAAAGTCAACTCTAACCTGCCACTATACTGCACTAACCTGCCACTATACTGCCCTGACGTGCAACTATACAGCCCTAACCTGCCACTATACTACCCTAACCTGCCACTATACTACCCTAACCTGCCACTATACTGCCCTAACCTGCCACTATACTGCCCTAACCTGTCACTATACTGCCCTAATCTGCCACTATACTGCCCTAACCTGCCACTATACTACCCTAACCTGCCACTATACTGCCCTAACCTGCCACTATACTGCCCTAATCTGCCACACTATGCTGCCCTAACCTGCCACTATACTAATCTAACCTACCACTATACTGCCCTAACCTGCCACTATACTGCCCTGACCTGCCACTATGCTACCCTAACCTGTCACTATGCTACCCCCAACCTGCCGCTATGCTGCCCTAACCTACCACTATACTGCCCTGATCTGCCACTATACTGCCCTAACCTACCACTACACTGCCCAAACCTGCCACGATACTATCCTAACCTGCCAAATGTACTGCCCTAACCTTCCACTGTACTACCCTGACCTGCCACTGTACTACCCTGACCTGCCACTGTACTGCCCTAACCTTCCACTGTACTACCCTGACCTGCCACTGTACTACCCTGACCTGCCACTGTACTGCCCTGACCTGCCACTCTACGGCCCTGACCTGCCACTACTACGGCCCTAACCTGCCACTGTACTGCCCTAACCTGCCACTGTACTGCCCTAACCTGCCACTATACTGCCCTAACCTACCACTATACTGCCCTAACCTGCCACTATGCTACCCTAACCTGCCACTGTACTGCCCTAACCTGCCACTATACTGCCCTAACCTACCACTATACTGCCCTAACCTGTCACTATACTACCCTAACCTGTCACTATGCTGCCCTAATCTGATACTTTACCCACCCTAGTTGTTTGACACTATACTGATCTCAGTTATACGTTGTGTGTCCTCTGCTCTGACAGCAGTGACCCCTGTCCTCTGCCCTGACAGCAGTGACCCCTGTCCTCTGCCCTGACAGCAGTGACCCCTGTCCTCTGCCCTGA